GGACTCAGGGGACCATTAAAGTGTGAGATACTCAAAGGAGGGGATACAGGATACATAGAAATAGCTCCTGGCCAGGGCAGGGAGAGCCCAGAGACAGGACTCTCTCTGCATAGGGGGCAGAAAAGGCTCCAAGGTGGAGACAGCAAGAAAACATGCGTAGGAGGTGGGAAGGAGTCACCACAAGAGACGGCAGGTGAGAAGGGGCCATTCCCCATCCGGGGGAGACCACAGAAGGTCCCGGGTCTGGGAATCAAAAAGCATGTTCAGAAAGAGGCAAGATGCTGTGAGTGACGAGAGGGTAGATACATGGGCAGAGCCCTGCTGGAAGGGGCCTCACCTGCCAGGGAGAAGCCTGGATCTGCCTGTACAGGAGGCTGGGGGACCCTGAGGTTTGGGTATCCTTGGAGCGATTCAAGCTATGATGCCATGGCCACTTTGTTAGAGCCCAGGATGGTGGCCCGGGGAGCACAATGGCAGGGGTGGATGTGGGCGATGCATCTTGGACTGGGCGTCCAGGGAGGCTGAGAGCTCATGAGGAAAACACGCCGGATGAGCTGAGTTCTGCTCAGAGACCCACACTGTTCAGCAGTGTCCCAGGTAGAACCCGGCCAAGAAGGTGCAGACCTTAGAGCTAGTCAGTCGGTGACACTCATCCCCGCAGGCACTTGGACACACAAATCACAGTGAGAAAACGTGACTTATCCTTAAGAGTTTGGGAAACTAATAATAAGATTATAATAGACTTTGGTCAAAGCACAGAAGAAAACAACCGAGAGGCATAATTCTAAATTTTAAAAATAAAATACATAAGTACCAGAAATCTCCATCTTGCTCCAACAAAGCTATGTTGCTTCTTCCTGATTTCTTATGGTTTATCTTCATAACTGCCTCTGTTCCTACTCCTTCCTTCCCTGCCTACCAGTGCCTTGTCTGTATTTCATTCAGAGGATCTTCTGTTCATAAAAGAGCCCCTCACATGCCCATCCCTCCAAATCCCCTAATGTTAAGAACAACTATACTCTGGACACTTATTTCAAATTACAGAAATGACACTGGGTCACAAGAAAAAAAAAATCCAATTTTGGTGCCTGTGATCATGCTTCCCCTTGTCATTCTGACATACATTCTATTATCTCCTGGCTTTGGTTCCCATTTCCTAATTCTCTTAGATTTCAGTTTTTCAAAATATTCATTTAGTGTAAGGAATATATCCCAACAAGCACGTAAGCAATGCCGCTGCCTGTGATGACTCCAAAGGACATGCAGTAAAGCTTCGATCTACCAGCAGCCTGTGGATGGATGTGCTAGCAGACACCGTTCTCAACAAAAGCAAAGTCTTTGGCTCAGAGCATCAGTGCCCAATGGAACCATCAGCCAAGATACATGTACAATTTTTCTAGTAGCCACATTTTAAAAAGTGGAATTAGGGACCTGGTGGCGTGGTGGTTAAGAATCTGCCTGCCAATGCAGGGGACTCGGGTTCGATCCCTGGTCTGGGAGGATCCCACATATTGCGGAGCAACTAATAAGCCCGTGTGCCACAACTACTGAAGCCCACACACCTAGAGCCCGTCCTCCGCAACAAGAGAAGCCACCGCAATGAGAAGCCCGCGCACTGCAATGAAGAGTAGACCCTGCTCGCAGCAACTAGAGAAAGCCCGCGCACAGCAACGAAGACCCAACGCAGCCAAAAATAAATAAGTTTATTTTTAAAAAAAGAAAAAAGCTTTAAAAATGAGCAAACTCTTACAAAAAAAAGTGGAATTAATTTTAGGAATATTTACTATACCTGAAGTATTCTTTCAAATGTAATCAATAACACGAAATTAATGAGATGTTTGACAGGCTGCCATAAGAAAGTTCCAAAGATTGGACGCCTTAAACAAATTTATTTCCTTACAGTTCTGGAGGCAAGAAGCCAAGGCCGAGTTGTCAGAAGGATGCTTTCCTCTGAGGCCTCTCTCCTTGGCTTGTGAGACAAATTCCCACCCTGTGTCCTTACCTAGTCCTTGCTCAGTGTGTGTCTTTGTCCTAATCTCCTCTTCTTATATGGAGTTCAGTCATATTGGATCAGGCCCTACCTCCAAATAGTCACCTTCTGAGGTACTCGGATTAGGGCATCAACACATGAATTTCTGGTGGACACAATTCAGCTCATAACAACAGTCTCTTGTTCATGCTGAGCCTTAGACATCCAGTGCTGTTGTACACTGATGGTGTGTCTCAGTTTGGACTGGCCATGTTTCAGGTGCTCATGGCTGCATGGGTCCTGTGACTCTCATAGCAGACAGCTCAGGTCAGAGCCGCCCATCATAGGAGGGCTGGCTCCCTGGGCACCTCTACCCAGAGGACCCCACAGTGAGCAGCCTTCCTTCAAATTCCCATGGGCTGAATCACCTGCCAACTATCACCCATTTCAAGATATTTTTTTCCCCAAGAATCGACAGATAAGTATGGATAAAGGAGATGTGGTATATAAACACAATGGAATGGCACACAGCCAAAAAAAAAAAAGAATGAAATAATGCCATTTGCAGCAACATGGATGGACCTAAAGATGATCATACTAAGTGAAGTCAGCCAGACAGGGAAAGACAGATATCATATGGTATCACTTGTATGTGGAACCTATTAAAATGATACAAATAAACTTATTTACAAAACAGAAATAGACTCACAGACATAGAAAACAAATTTACGGTTACCGAAGGGGAAGGGGGGGAATAAATTAGGAGTTTGGGATTAACATGTACACACTACTATATATAAAATAGATAACCAACAAGGACCCACTGTATAGTACAGGGAACTCCACTCAGTATCTTATAATAACCTATAATGGAAGAGAATCTGAAAAAGAATATACATATATAAATACACACACACACACACACACACACACACACACACATATAACTGAATCACTTTGCTGTACACCTGTAACTAACACAACATTGTAAGTCAACTATATTTCAATTTAAAAAAAACAAAAAACGAAACTTCAGTCTGGGCATGGAGCACAGAAATGTGTGCATCTAGTCCTTCCCAAGGTCAAGCTCTGAATCTGCAGCAACGACCTCAGCCATTGTCTCATTCCAGAGAAGGCACGAAGGATGTTCTTTGCCAAGTCACCGCATATACCCAACAGCTGGCAGGTATAATAAGACCATGTCTTGGTCTTGTTTCCTAAATAAATGTGATTCTAAATCTGGCATGAAGAAGCAAACTTTCCTTCTGCTGTGACCTCCTGCCGCCCCGACTCCCTGCCTGCTGAGACTTTGGGCGTCCTGGCCACAGGGAGCTGGAACCAGTTCTCAGGTGCAGCTGCCCCTGCACTGCCCAGCCCGGTCACGTCGTTCCCAACCCCTCCCTAACCCGAGGAAGAAATTCAACTATGGAGGAGCTGGCCCAGCACCAGGTTCTGGAGATAGCTCTATTCTCACATGTCCAGTTGTGGGAAGCTGTGCAATTGGGGGATTAGAGGGAATATTACCTTTTTAGAACACACATATACTTAGGTAATTTCCACGTGCCTTGAGAGCCCTAGGTTAGAACCCCGCCTCGCTTGTTCGATTCAACGTCCTGGTAGTTTACCTGGTTTACCTGGTAGATGTAGGCGCTACGTACATTGCCTTCCCTTCCGGGCACTTCCCCATCCACTGAAGCTCGTTGTGGCTGCGTGATCTGCTTTAGTCAATGACACGAGCACAAACGCATGTGTCATTTCTGGGCTGAGTGTGTAGGGGCCGGGCAGTGACTCGCTGTCCCTCTGAGGCTGCATTCCTTTGGGTTGGGACCTCCGCTCACCTGGGCCCCCGGAAGTGAGGAAGGACCGGCAGCAGGAGTGAGAAATCAACCTGGGTTGTGTAGCACCACTGAGACGGTGAGAGGCTGAAACCCCAGCAGATTCCAGCCCGTCCCAGCTTACACAAAAGATGGATACTTACTTCCTTCTGTTAGTTTTTCCCCAGGGAATTTTATGCTTGTTGATGTTAAAACGATTTTATTTTATTTTATTTTTTGCTTCATGGCTCATCATCCAGGTACTTGAAATTTTGTTTGATGAAATTTTCTCCCTCACCCTCATGTTAGCCTCAGAAAGATGCGTGAACTTCCATTTCTTTTTAACGTTCTCGTAGAGAAGTTATGGGCCTTCAAAAATGGCTTTTCAGTCTCTTTTGCCAGTATGCCTCTAACAGCTGCCGTGAAGACGATTCTCCTCAGTTTTTTTTTTTTTGTTTTTTTTGTTTTTTTTCTTGCGGTACGCAGGCCTCTCACTGCTGTGGCCTCTCCCGTTGCGGAGCACAGGCTCCGGACGCGCAGGCTCAGCGGCCACGGCTCACGGACCCAGCCGCTCCGCGGCACGTGGGATCTTCCCGGACCGGGGCACGAACCCGTGTCCCCTGCATCGGCAGGCGGACTCTCAACCACTGCGCCACCAGGGAAGCCCCCCCTCTTTTATTAATAGTTACTATTTATCTGAATCACATGAACTACAGTGATGAGACCTATTACTGGCTGATTAAAATGATGGCAGGTTTCCTTTTAGTAGAAGTCAACAGATTAAATAATTTTGTTTGAGCCAGTTAATGGAGAGGCCACCAACATGAGCGATATTGGTCTTGCCATGGGATTAATATTTTGGTGACAACAGAAAAACGCAAACTGTCAAAGGAAAGCATTAGCTCTAATGTAGCCAGAAATTCCCCCAAATAAGCGTCCCAGCCTGGGTTCCCTCTGGCAAGGACTATGAAAATACTTGTGCTTTTCAGTTCTAACTTTCAGCAGAGCATCTACAAAAGGGCGATTGATTTTTATTTTTGGTAGGATTTCTACTTAGAAGTGCCAGTGGGAGGGCCATGCATAAAACCTTCAGATATACAATCTGTAACAAATTTCTGGTACCACAAACACCATGTGTTAAAAAATGTGTTTACAAGGCTGCAAGAAGGTGCACACAAAGAGGAAAACACCAGAAAAATTGCATTTTTTTTTTTTACCTTGCCTTTGTCAAAGTAGTGGATGATTTCCTGGTAGAGCCGCTCTTTCAGCTGTCCCTGTGTTGTCGCCTGGTACCCGTCCCGCTGGGTGAGGTGGGCCGCGCACACGTCCTCCGACCACTGAGGCAAAAGCAAAGCGTAAGTGGTGCCAGGTGAGGGCACGGCCAGGGCTACCGTTTCCCTACCGTCAGGTCAGAATGCACAGTAAGCCCTGAATTCAGTGTGGGCACTCGGGCCATGATTCCGGGGGTCGTTGGAGCAGCTGCCATCAGGCTGTCGGGTCTGGAATTGAGGGCAGAACCTCTGTGCAGAGGCCTCAAGATGAGTGAAAGAAAGAAGAAGGCAAAGCTGGGTCTAGATTCACACAGAAGAGAAACCCAGCAGGTTCTGGACAGCACAGAACTGTCAGCTTGCCCATGATGCCTTGGAACCTTCCAGAAGAATGAGGAACTGGGTGATCTGTGGCTGCCTCAAGTGGGGCATCCCTGGGCGGCGGCCTCAGTCCTGTGCTGCTCAACATTTTAATCAACAGCAGAAGGCACATGGATTCCACTTACAGGTCGTAAAGAAAGCTCCTTACAGACAGGGAGGCGTCTTGGGATCTCCAGCTCTAGGCACGTTGCCTGTCGCAAAGGCAGGGCTCGGCCAGCGTTTGTGGACGTGACAGTGGACTTATGGGATGAAGGAAGGATGCATCAAAGTGAAGGCAAGCTCATTTGACACCTAAACTCCTAAACTTATGCTCAAGAAATCAACGGCACTAAATATAGGGTTCAATAAACTTCAATATTTGGTGGGGACCTACTATGTGCAAGGCACCAGGTCAAAGATGAGTCAGAAGATGCCTGCCCCAGAGAGAGTGCTATTACAAATTAGAGTACAGTGGTATATAATAACTCTGCAGAAAAGATTTCATGGGCAATTTAAGGGCGGGAGGCAGGATGAGGGGTTCTGCGGAGGCTCCTCAGAGGAAAGAATCAGGATGGGCTCACTCATCAGTTGGACTCAGGAGGTGGGTCTTGACCCTGTTTTAAGACAGGACAGTGAGGATGCTACCAAGAAAGCAGCGGACTTGCAGGCTGCCTGGACCACAGGGGGGTGGGGGTGGGGGTCCCCCACTGGACTCAGGGCTGGCCCGGCCACATCTGGAGCAATGGGACCAGCTGTGGTGCCACATTTTAGGGGGCAAGACAAATGGACAGGAACCACTGGGGCAGAGGGCAAAGGCCCCAAGGGACAGGCCTGCAAAAGTGCAAGGCTCCCTAAGAGGCGGGCTCTCACAGCACACACCCCCTCCCACCTTCCCGAAGCCAGAGAGGCTCTGGAGCACTCTGTGCTGGACCCCAGGGCTCCAAAGAACAGGGTGAAAGGGCTATGGGGCCAGATGGGCTCTCCAGCACCTGGAGTGTCAAGTAAGAGTGAGCAACCTTTACGCTGCTGCAAATTCTTTCACCTTCAAATGAGAAGTGCGTAGCCCAACCATAACTGGGAGTTACAAACTCAATTAATTGTGGCATTTTCACCACATGGCCAGATTTCTACTTTTACGAAGTGTAAAAGTAAAATTTTACATGATTCTGAAATGTAACTACAATAAGATAAATAAGAATAAGAAAGTTTGGATGCCAAATAACTTCCTTAGAGTTTAAAATCACCTAAAAAAATACTGAATGGAGAAGCAAAACTCCTTTATACCTTCCACTTAAACAATGAGATGAAATGACTTGATTGCTAGGCGAAGGGCTGATGTTTTTATTGCCTTTGTTTTTTTTTTTTTTGACAAAATAGCCTTAACCAAAAAAAGAAGACCCTATTTGAGGATTTTTACTCAAGGAACAAGAATATATCAATCATGGGGAAGAATTTTCATAAAGATATAAGTAACATTCTTTAGTATGTTGATTAACCAGCATGAATTCACATTTACTGCAATATCAAAACATATTTAGGACAAACTACAAAATGTAATGATGTAAAAGATATGGAGAGCAATTATTTGGCATCTAACTGGAAAATTCAAAACCCCAGTGGAGATGATAATGCAATTGGGCCGATTGATTTGGGTTGTGGAACATCCTTGTACCGTTTGTGACAAACCCATCTGTGCTCAGTAAGTGCAATGATTAAACAAATGATGCTTCATGCACATATATCTATTTTACATTCACACGCCCGTAGAAAAGTTTATGTACTGTGAGAGAGAGTAAGGGTGACCAAGCAGCTTGTCAAGCCCATTTTAATTTCCCTGGTGTAAAAGATATATCTTCGTAGTTTCAAAATCACCTTGCTACTAAAACTTGGGTTTCTAACAAATGAAAGCCATTAGAATTCAAAGTGGGACGGCTGGTGTGAGATGCCCCAACTGATAACTCTATCTTCATAAATGACAGTCCTTAGGAGAGCTTTATATGGTGCAAACCCAAAGGGGTACCATGGATGACTATGGATGAGGCATTCAGATTGAAACGTGTCTCATTGTGTTTTCTTTATAAAGGACTCTTGTTTTCAGGCAAAGGTCAATCTCCACACGCCAGTGTCCCTAAAGCAGCTTATGAGTATGCATATCACACAAGCTACTGGAGAGTTCAGGACTGGGCCAAGGGCTAGAAGATTCTTGCTGGGAATTCACTGCCTAACATGGGAAATTCCCTCATCTATCCACCTACCTACCCACATATCCATCCACCCACACATCCGTCCATCCATCCACACATTCATCCATCCACCCACACATCCGTCCATCCATCCATCCACACATCCATCCATCCACCCATACATCCATCCAACCATGAATCCATCAATCCATCCAACCACACATCCATCCATCCATCCATCCATCTATCAACCCATTCATCCATCCACCCACACATCCATCTTGCCATCCATCAATACAAACAACCACCCAGTTATTTCCTGTGGGTCCACTCTGTATGACTAACTGGGCTGAAAATGGACATGGGGAGAGCATGAATATATTATGGCAAAACACACACACACACACACACACACACACCAATGTTCAAAGCTATCGGAATAACAAAAGGACACTGAGAGCTGAAAGCTGTCATGCCAGACGTATGCTGAGGGGTAACATCCCCCAGGAGAATCAGGCAGAAGTCCAACATGAACTGATGGACCAACAGGAGATCTCAATGGAACCGCTTAGAACGCATGGAGAGAAAAGTCATGATCTGGTCCCTACACTCTTTGATAAAATAATGAGAGGTGGGCTCATCCTCTCTCTTAGCTATTGTACCACAGAAGTTCCTTCTTACTGAGGTCGCCCTCCAGCATTACTGGGTCCTGTTGGCAGGAATAAGGAATCACAGGATCTCTAACTCACTGCTGGCAGGCCAATCATGGGTGTTTAAGATGCTCAGTGATAACCTGCTCTGACATCTCGTCCAATTTGCATTCAGAAGAGCCAAATCTATAATCAAAGTGCTTCTTAACTATCTTTGTTTATGTCACTGCATTGAGTTAACATCCACGAAATCTTAAGTTCTAGGTTTACTGAAATTTGTCATGGAAAAATCAAATGTTAAATGATCTTATAATTGATAACGACAGGATCATGAAAGTATATGGTAATTTTTACTACCTTCAGAAGCTTCGCATGGAGAAGCAAGGTATAGGCTGCTTCAGTGTAGTTATCACATTCCTTGTGCAGGTCACAGAGCTTGTACAAATACCTGAGACGATAAAACATAGGTACATTCTTAAAGCATCACCAAATAATTTGTGTTGAGAATTGCAAGAGCTAAATTCTACCTTCAACAGTAAATCATCTCTATACTTTCTTTTTACAATCTTCACAATGCATAATGCCTTGGAAGCTTCTGGTACACGAAGCACTAAGAAAAACCAACTGGAGTAATACACAGTAGGTATATTTTTTAAATTTAAGTCTTCTCTTTGCAGGACAAAACTGAAGGTGGCACAAGGAGGTGGAATTATATACCTCAAGGTCTCTCATTCTTCCTCATCTTTTCCAGAGTTTTCTCTCTTGCAATTGAAGTGAGAGTACACAATGTCTGATTGTGATTTCTTACATTTCTACTGAGTCCAAATATATACACACACAAAATCCATAAAAATACAAATCCATAAGAATAAAGAGCTCCAATGATCACAGCGAATGTGATCAAAAGAATTCCTCTGCCATAAAGAAATAAAAGTTGCTTTTCTAATATAAAGCAACCTACATTTTTTTTTGTATACACTTTTTTTTTTAACATCTTTATTGGAGTATAATTGCTTTACAATGGTGTGTTAGTGTCTGCTTTATGACGAAGTGAATCAGCTATACGTATACATATATCCCCATATCTCTTCCCGCTTGCATCTCCCTCCCTCCCACCACAGCCTACATTTTGGATAAAAGAAACTGATTGTTTTCCTCAAGCTTTATTATATTCACATGGTACTGTTTTTAAAGGACAAAGTTAAAAAGTCTTAGAAATCAAAAGTTAGAAAATCATGTTTTTGTTTACTCTTTATACAAATAAATACACTAGAGACTTAACAAAAAAAGAAAGAAAATAATGCTTAATGTAACTAATCCATCATTAAAGTCTAATGTCACATGGAGTATATAATTATTCTGGTCTCATAAGTGGCAATCTTGCTAAACTTTGACACTGGCCCCTAAGAGTGACCAAGAAGAAGAGGGTACCAATCATAGCCCACCACCCTAGAGAAAAAGGCAAGTGAAGGAGAAACATCCAGAAGAAAATACGAAACTTGAGAATTTGGTACCCAGGTAAGAATAGACTGAAAGTTTATACTATTGCCTTATTTCTGATAAAGTTAAGACTGGACTTCTCATTTGATCATATGGCTTACTGTGAAACAATAAAATTTGTGGCGGTGCCTTTTTTCTAAAGGGCCATAAGGGTCGGTCAAGAGGAACAAAAACCCTGTGAAATAATAATTTTCTTCTGAGCTGGCTAAGGATGCCCCCCGCCCCAAATCTCCGCATTGGCACGGACAAACTGCACCAGGCCTGACGATACTTCTGGGAGTTCCACCAAATTCAAACTCTAGCCTTCACGATTTCCTACAAGATCAACCCCTGTGGCTATAAAACACTTTTCAGCATGGACTTGACAAACAGCAGGTATCATAAACAGGTCGAGGGTGCAGACGAGCCAGACGCTCACATACCTTATATACATTTCTTCTCTTTCAATCTCTTTGTAGAAATTCTGAAAAATCAAACCACAATACTGTTTTAAGAAACCTGTTCTATAAAAGGCGTCACATACACATTAAAAATCCACAGTTCTTCAACTTGTGTCAAACAACAGCCACATGGACCCAGATCTTTGGATACGAACCATAAATTCACATAAAATGCAAAAACACCTTACACTGTTCATTATTTTTTTTTTTGGCTGGTGGGGGGTGATTCTAAGGAATACATTTCCTATACTTTAAACAGTGTAGCGTGCATATGTTAACCCCAAACTCCCATTTTATCCCTGCGCCCCCCTTCCCCTTTGGTAACCATAGTCTGTTTTCTAAATCTGTGAGTCTATTTCTGTTTTGTAAAAAAGTTCATCTGTATCATTTTTTTAGATTTCACATATAAACGATATCATATATCTTTCTCCATCTGACTTACTTAGTATGATAATAACTAGGTCCACCCACGTTGCTGCAAATGGCATTATTTCATTCTTTTTGATGGCTGAGTAATATTCCATTGTGTATATACATATCACATCTAAATAGATAACCAACAAGAACCTACTGTATAACACAGGGAACTATACTCAATATCTTGCCATAACCTATAATGGAGAAGAATCTATATATTCAGATATATATAGACCTGAATCACTTTGCTGTATACCTGAAACTAACACAACATTGTAAATCAACTCTATTTCAGTAAAACAAAAAGGAAGCAAAAAACATGCTTGGCAACAAATTTTTAAAAATTAAAAAATAAAATAAACGCTGTGATGGCTTAAATCTACTTCTGTCATTTGAAAGTCACCTGTTTTCAGTTAAAACAAAGGATTACCGAAAGATATGATATCTTCACCATTCTTAACCATTGTAATCTCATTAGAAGCGAAAAAAAAATTTTTGGAAGAAGCATCATCAACATGATTTAAAGCATGCTGGGTCTAGCCTCACTTACCAAGAGGCACAAGAAGGCAACGTGGCATTGTAGACCTGACGTCCAACACAGTAGCCACGAGCCACATGTATTCAAATAGAAAGTCAATTTAATTAAAATTGAATGCAGTTAAAAATTCACTTCCTCAGTTGCACTTGCCACACACTTTTGAGTGCGCAATAGCCGTATGGAGCCAGTGCTACTGTCTTGAATAGTGTAGATACAGAGCATCTCCATTATCAAGAAATTTCTATCGGAAAGCGCTGCTCTAGACAGACCTTCCAAAACACAGTAAGAAAACTGGTTGCTGCTTAAAAAACACCTCGCGTACAGCATTGATAGAGGAAGGTTAGTTAGCAGATTATCAACAATAGGTTAATTCTACATATTGTAAACTATTTTCAGGATGGGCATAAATATTTCTATTACAATTACATTTCTTAATGTGAAATCTCTATAAACACTCTAAAATCTTTTACCGTTCACGAGGCACCAGAAAGGTGCAGAACAGTCACCTAACAAGGCCTAAAGTATGGAAACACCATTGCCACTTTCAATGTGAAATTTAGCACCTGCACACCATGTCAGAACTCTAGAATGGGGGCCTGAGATAACTAGTGAATAGCACCATCATAAAGGCATGCAAGTACCCAGGAAGGTGAAACAGCCTGTTTCGTTTCATTAGCCAAAGAAAGACGCCGCTGCTTCCACAACTGATCTCTCCGAGAAGAAATCATAAACAAATGCAGAGAGTAAGCGGGGGCGCGTTTAGAAAGACGCACCGAGATTTTCACATTTTGCAGCACCTGAGATTTGCGTGTCCTCTGGTTCGTGTGCTGTGTCTGGGTAATGAGGATATTTTCAGCTGACGGCTCGGAGCGATGTAACAAAGGGAACCTACATCAAAGGCAGAGGATGAGCCCTTCACTTCCAACTCACCAGTATTTACACGCTACGATTCCACACCACCCTCTTCTGCACTCCTATTTTTAATCCTTTCCTAAGCTTTTGATCATTCTCTACAATTTCACAACGGGGATATCATGTGACTTTCCTCCCTCTCTCCGGAAGTGTCTTCTATTTCCTGCCTGCTCTGCGTTCTATTCCCTGCCTAGGACTTCAAAGCCTCCCTAGAACTGAAGGACGTTCATCTCAAATCCCAATTTCTTTATAAAACTTTTTCTTTCTTTATGTAAAAGTTCACACTGCTCGGTGCCCCACTTCTGGGCTCTGCGGGCATCCTCCCACCCCCCGTGGTCCTCTCCGCACCAGGGCTGACATCTGTCCAAGCAGCCCTGTTGGGACTAGGTCTCCAATTCCAGTCCAGTCAGTGCTATGCGTTGATCTTTCAGAGCACAAGCATTTTCACTGTATTTCAATTTTGTACTCCTTCATAACTAAGACACATCCTAAGATTGTTAGAATTCTAGTTGGAACCACCTTAATTAGCCTGTAAAGGGGCCATGAAGGACCTAACTTATGTCTGTAAAACAATGATTCTACCATTCTTGGGTATGAATATGTTGATAATTGCATAGAAGAGCCAGGTGACACACAACAAATCATGAACCAGTAATTAAAGATTGCATGATTACGAGGTGACGATGAAATTCCACTTAATTACAAATATGCATTTTGCCTAGCGGGAACCATGATCCAGTACACATGCAGACTTGCTTGCAGAGGTACATCTAAAGGACTAGGCCGCTGGGCAGAATCACAGCCCCTGTCTCTCATTTTTTAATTTTAATTTGTTTTTTCAGTGATAGGAAGAGTAGGACATTAACGAGCCCACACAACTTAGAACGTTCCACTAACTCTATTAAAAAGAAAAAATAGCACTGGTTTTAAAGGAAATTTTGCAATGAGCTTACATTTATTTATTGATGAATAAATCTTACGTTCTTTATTTTTTAACCTTAGGATTTCGAGGCGATTTCTGCTTAGTGATCAGTTGAGTACATTTTATATGTTTCTAGATGTATGTTTATACATCCATACTCATCTAGAGATGGATAGACATATTCACTTCTATGAAACTCTATTTGTTTCACAAGAAAAGTACCTTTCACAAGAAAAGGTAAAAATGGACCCAGAAGTTAGAAATATATTTATATGATTAAATGTTCTTGGCAGTGAATATTAAGAGACGGAACATCTATCTGTAAAGACCCATTTTTGTTCTCTGTAATCCATAGATCTCTATTTTTTAAATGTAAGTATTGTGATAGTCTGGGATCCATCTTATCCTCCCCAGGAAACAGTTAAGAATAGAACACTTGACCCTTCATAGGATGATTCAGGATGTTTCAAGCTGAAGGAAGTGAATGATGTCCGATAATCTCAGGATGAGAGAGGAACACACACCATAACGTCAGGAACTATGTTCTCAGGTGTCCTCACAGGACCTTATTTTTCTGACCCTGATTCTGATTCTGATTTTGAGCCTGATTCTGATAAAACGCCCCATTCAGAGCCTGTCACCATTTCTCCACTAGGTTTTGCATCCTGGTGAGCATGAAAGATCCTGCTTGAAACAAACAGTAGTCAATCATCAAAGCTGGAAACCTAATCGACATAATATTAATTCTTCCTTTTGGACACAAATGGGCCTTTTGGGTCCCCTTAAAGCTCAGAGGTAGCACTAGAAAAGTATGTCCGTGGTAGGGAATGTTTTGGAAAACGCTTCTGTTTCTCTCCTGCAGAAAGACACTGATTTCTATTTCGTGTTAACCACACTGGCATCATCAAAATAAACTCCTACGGACAGAGGCAAGAATGCAGGAAGACAACAGAGCAAGAGCCAGGCTCGTCCCTGAGCAAAGGATCGAGGCCCTTACCTGGCGCAGAGCTCGCTGCCGCCCTAGCACAGTCAGGCTACAGGTGGATGGAGAGGCAAACATAGCCAGTGGGCCAGATCTCAGGGATGGATGCCAGTTAACTCCTACAGAGGCCCCCGACCCTTATGATGCACATGCAAACATATTTAGATGTTTCAAGCTCACTGATTCTTTCCTCAGCCATGTCCAGTCTATTGATAAATCCAAAGGCATTCTTCACTCTGCAAGTGTCTAGCATTTTCTCTTTGATACTTTCTTAGAATTCCCATCTTTCAGCTTATATTACCTGTTCTTCCATAATGTCTACTGTTTCTATTAGTGCCCTTAGCATATTTATCATGGTCATTTTAAGTGCCCAGTCTGATCATTCTAAAACCTCTAAAGCCATGTCCAAGTCCAGCGCTGATGTCCTGTCTCTTCAAACTGCGTCTTTTTTTTTCCTTTAAGACACCTTGTTATTTTATGTTGAAAGTGGCCATGATGTACTGGGTAAAAGGAGTCCAGTACCGGCTCCAGTGCTAGTTTCTGCTCTGGGAGGCTGTGATTCTCTGTATCACAATTTGGGGAGCAGGCGTTTTCCCTGTGGATCAAAGAAGAGTTGTTGATTTTCAGTTTGCCAGCTTTTTTCTTGTGGTAAGGATAGGAGTAACGACTTCCAAGCCCCTTTTACATACTGGACCAGAAACCAGAAGTGCCCGGTGTTTAGATTTTCAAGGAAAAACAAAAACAAAAAAAACCTGCTCTGGAAACGTTTATCATTGGCCAGAACGGGTTGCCCGGCCCCTGAACATAGGGCTGAGACTGCGCAAAGTTTCAGCGGCCGGCTCGTCGTGGCAAAGCTCAGATTCGGTGTTGACAGTGAAGTAGATGGAAGGTGAAAACGATTCCTTTTTGTTTATCTTTTTAATCCAAACACCTCAGGTGATTTTCAGCAATGAATGATGTGGCCTGCTCCTCCTGGCACAAAAGTCCATTCCCATAAGCTCAAAGCACCTACAAGTCCGTACAAATGGGGGAAGTCAGGGCAGAGCAACCACCTGCTATCCAACAACCAGGTGGTGATGAGGACATCACAGAGAAGTAAAGAAAAGAAACCAGGCACAGTGTTTCCTTGCATTCCTGTGTTGGGACAGGTGGGGGAAATTGAGGAAAACACTACCAGGGCCAGAAGTCTGCTTGTCTAGCTTCTAGGAAGCAGCAGAGGAGGAAGATGCAGAGAGATGCAGAGAGTTCTGGAGCCAGATGTGGTGGTCACGTGGCTCCTGAGAGCCACGAGGCCAACCAGCCATGCCCTGCAGCTGAGCTTGTCGTAAAGCTTCCGAGAAGTTCATCGCCCTGAAGCATTCCTGACGTACCACAACTACATCAAAAACCGATGTCCACAGAGCCTGACCTGTGTCACAGTGACAGCAGCTGTGCAAGACACCGGTGGATGGCAGTGGTCAAGTTCACCCAAGCCATCATGTGGCCACGCACGAGTTTCTTATGGCTGCCACAACAAATTACCACAATCTTGGGGACTTAAAACAATAGCTCTGCATTCTCTTTCAGTTTTGGAGGCCTGAGTCTGAAATCCAGGGGTCAGCAGGGCCACATGCCCTCTGAAGGGACTAGGGGAGCTTCCTTCCTGCCCCTTCCAGCTTCCAGTGGCTCCAGGTGTTCCTTGGCTTGTGGCCACATCACTCCCATCTCTGCCCCTCTCTTCACGTGGTCTCCTGCTCTGGGTCTCTGTCTTCTCCTTTTCTGTCTCTTATAAAAATACTTGTCATGGGCTTCCCTGGTGGCACAGTGGTTGAGAGTCCGCCTGCCGATGCAGGGGACGCGGGTTCGTGCCCCGGTCCGGGAAGATCCCACATGCCGCAGAGCGGCTGGGCCCGTGAGCCATGGCCGCTGAGCCTGCGCGTCCGGAGCCTGTGCTCCGCAACGGGAGAGGCCACAACAGTGAGAGACCCGCATACCGCCAAAAAAAAAAAAAAAAGAAAAAAAAAAAATACTTGTCATCGGATTTAGGGCCCACCTGGGTAATCCAGGACGGTCTCATCTCAAGATCTTTGACTTAATCACATCTGCTAGGAGCGTTTTTTTTTTTCCCAAACAAGGTCACGTTCACAGGTTCTGAGGATGAGGATGTGTGACCTTTCGGAGGCCACAATTCGACCCACTACGGGACATGTTTACAGTCTCCTAGCAATGAAACATTTAGGATCTGTAATCAGTGAGGGTGCTCCCCTGCTTACAAAATAAGATGGCTCATCATTCTGAACCAGGGGAAGAGCAGTGTGAAAACACCCAGAAGGAAGACGATTTTGCTGACGTGCTTAAAGCAGATATGCAAACAGTTCTTCCTTCCTCCTTCCCTCCCACAGCCAAGGAAACAGGCTGTGTCCTGCTCTGCAAAGTTCTGTGGCCACAGCTTTCACAAGGCTTTGAACTTCTGGTTCACTCTCCGGCTTCCTGGGAAGACCGGATATTGAACTTTTCACTCACCAGCACGTTGACAGTGCAGCTCATGCGATTTTCTTTGTTCTCATCATGCATGATGGTTCTGTAATCCAAAAGTCTTTCCATCAGGTGCACGACGAGCTTTACAAAAGTTTCTCCCGTTTTGGCAAGGTATTTGTGCTTCCTGCAGTGCTCTAAGAGACTGAAAAATAATTACACACACCTTGTTAATCACACTCAGCAAAAGGAACTTGACTGAGGTGCAATTTAAAATATTTTCCATTATTAACACTTTTAAATTATTTCTGGGCTACAAAGTTCATTGTCGTCTAATTACAGTCTCTCTGTCTCTATTCTGACATAAATCCCACTGTTAATCAACACTTACATTTTATCAAATAACACTTTGTACTGCTCATCGCCTCTACCTCCTTCCACTTCATGATCCAGCTTGGTGATGATCTCATTTTCAAACTATAATTAAACAGAGAAAGCATAAATTATCAGCATGGTGGATATTTCATTTCGTGACTTGAGCGTCAATAATACATAAATCGCCGACAGATCGTCATCGGAGAGTTGCCCTACACCTCTGAAGCCTGATTTCATTTAAGAGTTGTCCTTCCTGAACTCCTGGGGGTTTCTGATGAGCCCCTGTCACAGGGGGAATCTTTCATTTCCTTCCCTGGTTAATGAAGCCTTGATGCATATTCTGATCACAGGAGAAAGAGCCAGAGAAAGACAGACAAGGAAACTATAGGGAAGAAAAATCAAGGAGCAACATGAAAAAACATCCCAAACTGCATCTTTATGAACAAGTAACAGTTCAAATAGCTCCTTGGTTCTTGGAAGAGAACAGATGCTGTGTCACTTGCCCGCAGAGCTCTCTGCAACCTGAAAACAGGCAAAGGGCCACTTCCCTGCCACTCCTTGATGGATCCTAGTGAAATATCTCACTCTGGGTGAGAAACAGGATAAAAAACAAGAGGGGCAATGCCTTTAAGACAGACCAGCAGGCACCTCGAAAAGGTCCATCCCAGGCCTTTCCTCGAATTCCCCAAAGCTTCTGATGAGATCTCCAGAATATCATGGTGGGAAAGGATCCTCACAACTGATGGTCTCTCTGTCTCATGCTTTCAGGAAAACTCTAAATTCTGGAGAAGAGTGACTCTCTAAAATGTTTTCACGGAGGTCATGGACCCCATGGCCGATCAGGCTGGAAATAACTACCGCAATAATGACGGACATGCGTCCCCAACCTCGCTGCCCAGTCCCTCATCCCTGGCAGAATTCAGACCCACCTCCGTACTGGGTCCCTGGCCAGGTGAGTGCCCCTGTTGCAAGGGGGTCCTGCAGTTACTCATGGATGTGGGCCTGGTAGGAAGAAGGGGCTGCAAGAGCCTTAGTTCCCTAGAGATGGAGGCACCCACACTGAACTGAAAGAAGATGGGCAAAGGAGGAATTGAAGGAAACAACAGCTGAATTCAGGGTTCACAAAGCAAGCAGACCATGGCATGTATGCAAGGGTCTCTGGGATCCCTTTTTTTAAAACATTTTATCGATGCATAGTTGATTTACAATGTTGTGTTAATTTCTGCCGTACAGCAAAGTGACTCAGTCATACATACATATATATATATATATATATATATATATTTCTTTTTCATATTCTTTTCCATGATGGTTTATCACAGGATATTGGATATAGTCCCCCGTACTATACAGTAGGACCTTTTCGTTTATCCATTCTCTATATAATACTTTGCGTCTGCTAATCCCACACTCCCAATCCTTCCCTCCCCCACCCCTCTCAAGTCTGTTCTCTATGCCTGTGAGTCTGTTTCTGTTTCGTAGATAGGTTCATTTGTGTCATATTTTAGATTCCACATATAAGTGATATTAGATGGCATTTGTCTTTCTCTTTCTGACTTATTTCACTTTGTATGATCATCTCTAGTGGGATCCCTGTGAAATACATGCTCAGACGTTGCTTCCCCAGAGGCAACTATTACTTGGATCCCTTAAGGATTTAAGCTGCGTGAGAGAAAGAATTTTCTTCTCTCTTGGTCCCTGCTGTATTCCCAACCCCTAGGACAGCACCTGACATGGATGCTCTAATGCGATGAACGTGCTATGTGCACATAAATTATTGGATAGAGTTGGTGTTAAACTGAAGCTGGGGAGGGCTGAATAGGGCCCCAAAGGAGTGGGCCGGTAGGGTGCTAAGACACAACCTGCTCTCTTGGCCACACAAGCCAAGTGGTGAACACATTCATCGAAGTGCTTGTAACAGGTCCATCAGGCACCGTCTCCTGCACTGGGGACCCAGGGCACAGCTGCTGCAGTGTCAGCTGGTTGTGGACCCTGGGAAGCAGAAAGCAAGGGGGCTGGTGAGACCCAAGGAGGGGCCTCAGAGCGTGACCTTGACTGGGGCACACGCTGCCTGAAGCCACAATTTCATCACGCTACAGATGAAACAGAGGCTTAAAGCAGGACTGGAGAGAAGTATTGATTCTTGCTTGACATCAAGGACTCAGAAACATCACAAAGACTAGGACTTCGGTGAATCCCTGCAATTCTCTGCTCCGTCGCCTCCTCCCCCAAATAAACACCCTCTGATTCTGTTGGGCTTAAGAAGTTCAGGGATTTTAGGAACAGAGAAAAAAGCATAGTTCTATTGAAGAAGAAAGCATGAGTTGCTTTCTTTTTGTTCACCTGAGGTCTCATGATAAGGACTTTTACTATATAATAACAACCTTTGGATACTAACCCGCTATTACTCTGTTCCTTTCGGAAAAAAATTCTGCAAAAGGCGGTTCTTCTTGGAAACTAGCACAAGAGAGATGGCTTGCCACTAGACCGAACGTTGGCAGCCCCATCTTCCATTAATCAGCATGATTCTTCAGAAGAAATAATCGAGAGACAAAGTAAGACTAAATTTAATTAAAACGCATGATTCCATTCCACACACGTTTAAGGAGCATACAACAAAGAAGGCTTAGAGAATGAAGAAAAACATACCTTATCCTAACACTGGCAAGCACACACTGGCGTTTCAAATTGCTCATCTCTAGTTAATCAGACGGTATTTGCATTTGGAGGCTCTACTTTCTGGAAATGGCATGTTTTCTCTGCTTCCACACAAACCTCACTGTCACAAACAAGGGCAATAAAGGAAGCTCCAGCTCCTTAAAGTATATGCTGCTTATCAAATTTTGACCGATGAATTTAACGTTTTCTAAAAAGAGTGGATGAATGATAAGTAAATCAGAAGAACACAGCTGATTCTAATTTTACTAACCTCTAGTCTAAACTCTGTAATTTGCACAAACACCTGGCAACTCTACTCCGTTTATCAGCGAGGATTCAATTCCACAGATCTGCAGCCAGCCTCGAATTCTAGGGCCTTGCGTTAATTTTTACAGAATGTACTAGAATCAGTTTGCTCCTGTGCTGTGAACTGTTATCATAATCAGGATTAAATGATCCTGTCCAAATAAACTGGAGAAAGTAACTGCTGAGAGGAGAGCTGGTTTTATCAAAATTATGCTTATTATCTTACTTGTAAATGCATGCCGTCTGGTAATTTGCAAAAGGATTCTCTATGGTTAGGATAAAATTAGCAAGGATTTACTGTGTTGCTCAAAAGGCAGCAGAGGCTCACTCATGTGATAAGCAAAATCATTATCTTTTTCTCTCTTTTCTGAAACACCAATATTGCTTCGAAAAGATCCACAGGGTGTCCAACTTAAAATATTGAGCAGAGCGTCTCTAAGCATCTGATACCAGCAGCCCTCTGAGAATATGAAACACAGAGGCCACGTAGATAGGGCTTTTCAGAAGGTTGCTGTTAAGTTGAACACAGTGGAGGGTGTCTGGGTCGGGGGTGGGGGGAGCCATGCTCTCAGGGGTAATGTATTCACATCATCGTTAATTCAATTAACTTAGAAAGAACCATTGCTTTCACCACTCAGTGCCACTGTGAACCATGGGTTATTGGCTCCAATTTAGGAGATCATGGGGTGAAGGGTCTCAGCAGTGGATAATCCAAAAGCCAGTTCTCCTTGGTTTGGAATGCATCATTTCTGTTGGGGCTTAGATTTACCATTCTTGCTATAATGCATTTGTAAGTGTATAAAAACCAGGCTTGCACTCTCCAGGCATCCAGGGACACATTTACAGAAGAGATCTGGGGTTACGTCAGAGCAAGGGACGCCCAGGATGGAAAGGTCTGCACAAATAACTCACCACACGGGTAAAGCGCTTAGAGGTTACCAAGAGCTGGGAGAAAGCTGAGCTCTAGGACCGCGGTCAGCTTAGTGCATTAGCGATAGGGTTTCTTTCGAAACCCTTTATTAATAACCCTAGATAATAACCTAAATAACCCTAAATCATTCACAAATAATCCTGGGTGCAGGCATGCTTCTTTTTATTGTGCTTTGCATTACTGCGTCTTTTAGAAATTGAAGGTTTGTGCATTGAACAAGTCTACTGGTGCCCTTTTTCAAACAGCATTTGCTCACTTTGTCAAACAGCATTTGCTCACTTTGTGTCTCTATGTCATATTTTGGTAATTCTTGCAATATTTCAAACCTCCAGCAGCCTTCACAGCTCGCTGAAGGCTTAGATGATGGTTAGCATTTTTCAGCAACAAAGTATTTTTTTACTTTTTAGCAATTAAGTATTTTTAATTAAGGCATTGCTTTTTTAGACATAATTACTATTGCACACTTAAGAGACGACAGTATAGCATCAACAACTTTTATATGCACTGGGAAATCAAAAACTTCATGTGATTTGCTTTATTGAGATTTCCCTTTATCGCGGTGGTCTGGAACCAAACCTACAATATCTCCTGGGTCTGCCTGTATGGGTGCACTTTGCCCTACTCTCTGTTTTTTAAGAAAAGCTTCTCACAAGGTTCTGGAGGTAGGACCATGGTTTTAGACCACCCCGTAGTATTAGGGAGCTCGGGAAATTAGATTCTCTTTGGTTCTGCACCCCCCATTGGAATTGTCCAATCCAAGAGCACTACAGAACCATGCCCTTCTCTTGAGCATCACTGGAGGGGCTGCGGGGGAGAAAGTCAATGAACTGTGTCTGTGTGGATCACATGGCCAAGAAGAGGGCACCGGCCTGGCAGAGAGCAGCCTGGTTCTCTGACACCTGTGGGGCTCCGGGCTCACACGCAATGACACCCGAAATGTAACTGATCCCCCCAAATCTATCACTCAGCCTTTAATCCTTGTGCTCAGATACACTAATATTTTGATGTATATTGCATTCCTCTTGCTTAACCACTCTGTAAACTTAATTGCACAATTAATCTCTGGCACTCCATATCCCACGTTCTAAAATCCCCACATCCTTCTACGTCTAACAAGCGGGCGGCTCAGAGACCTTGAAGCTTTTGTGAAATGCTCATGAGCCTAGAGGTCCCAAGCCCCAGACCTGCAGCAGCCTGGCGGGGGAACTGGCTGCTACAGCCAGCAACACCTCGGACAGGTGTAGCTGTGCCCCACTGCTATACAACCCAGACCGAGGATTGATTTTAGGGCTGTATTCACTGACAGTGGACTCCAGGAACAAGTCTGCACAGTAAGTCCTGTTGGTTAAAGGAGATTATGGGAGTCCAGGCGTCTCTTTGCTGGAGAGCTTTTCTAACAGGATTCAATGTCATCAGAGCTCTGAGTCCAAGGTATTATTTTCCATGATCTCTTGGACCACTTTTGGGTCTGGGGTTCAGTGAAATAAAAGCCTAATTCTTGGGCCATATTTCCCCTCTAATCATCCAAAACGACAGAATCAAGTATTATTTTTTAAATGAAAGCAAAAACAAACCAATCAACGAAATCCTAATGAACTGAAGAATAAACGAGATAAGATATGGGGATGTATGTATTATGTACAGCTGATTCACTCTGTTATAAAGCAGAAACTAACACACCATTGTAAAGCAATTATACTCCAATAAAGTTGTTAAAAAAAAGAATAAACAAGATAAAATCACCACCAAACTTATTCACATTCATATTACCGTTCAAAATATATTGGCTTTGCCACCAAGTGGCAGAAGCTGCCAGCATCCACTTGGGTTATTCAATTATTTGCTTAAGGTTACCAGCCTCGGTGGTAGGAAGAGATTATTCAAACAGGAACTCGGGAACATTGCAGACACAAAGATTACTCACATTCTAATATTTTTAAAACTAAATAGGAATTTCTGGAAGTTGTGGAGCATTTTGCTGACCCTCACGAAGATGACAGAAAATAGCTCCATGACTGAAAATATTACTTTGCTGTGGAGCCTTTTCCATCTCATTTTCATGAATGGTCTAAGAGCCCAAATAGTCATTTGCTGCAATTCTCAGCTGTTAGTTCTGTATTTTCCAAAGACATAACAAATGCATTTCTTTAAAAAGGTGCTAGGAGAGAATTTAAAGGTACGCTTTTCCTCTGAAGCAAACCCCAGAGAGGCTAAGACTCAGAATGGTACTCATTTGGGGGCAGGGATCTCAGCGAGATGGGGGAAGCATTAGTTAAGGCTCATCTTGTGGTTCCATGGCTCAGCCGGTCCACTGGATGATGTAAGAGGCCCTAAGACAAGGATGACCCCAAACCTCTCCATGCTAGCTGGGCAGATCCTGAAATCTTCACACATAAGGTCTCTCCTTTGGAAAAAAACAAAACAAAACAAAACAAAACAAAACAAAACAAACCCCCCCTCCCAAGATTTCCCAAGGTCCTCAGTTTCAGGCTAATCACGCTACTCTGGGATCTCTGGGATTGGGGTAGGGTAGGGTGGGGACGGGGGACAGTGGTTGACAGTGAACACACCTGCAGGGATGACTTGAAGATCGGACGCATGCCAAGGAAAGTGAGAAGAGAATGTATCCACTGGGACTAATGTACTGGAGGGAAGCAGTGGGAGAAGCATCTGAACAGCCCCACTCAGAGAGACACAGCAAGCTCTGAAAAAGCAAGGCTACGCCGCATGTTCAAAACACGAAAGTTCTGTAAAAATGAAAAACCTTAATCTTCCCCTAACTGCATTAGATTTGCACATCTGCTATGAAGGTAGAGCCAATTTAAGCCTTGTTCACGTGACTAATAAGGTTAGATAATTGAACTGGTGGCGGATTAAACAGCAGCCAGTCAGCTCCATCCTAGGAGCTCCCTGGATGGAGGCGGGGAAGGCTGTGCCCTCCTGTTCTGTGCACGTGCAGCTACACATATTCACCAACATCACCGACAAGGAATAGAGGGCGTGCCTTGCGCTTAAGGAGAGCAGCCGCTGGAGGATGAGAGTTGAACCGAGAACAGAAAGGAGTCAGAAAAGATACAGCAAGTCGAGAGACAAATGCTGTGGTCCAGGAGAGCCCTGGGACAGGGGGCGAGGGAAGCAGATGGACACTGGGGATGAGACAGAGGAAGAACCCACAAGTCATTGCAACCCACCATGGAGGCCAAGAGAGCAAGCCAAGGCCAGGCCAGTGGGACTGGACCCGTGAACCAAATGACAAGGAGCCAGGCAGAAATGGGGATGATGGGGAAGAAGCAGAGGTGGGAAGGATCCACGTGGCCTCCCGCGGGAGGCTGAGATAGGTCAATAGAAAAATTGAGATGTCCCAACGAAAAGGAAAGTGATCATTTTGCAATTCACCGGAACACATTAATATGGCAGAGAGATTTCTTCACAAGTTTTCGTCTTTCTGCCTTGCTTTGTACCTTCGAGGTGTCCTACCACCTGTCTGTGAGGGTACAAGCAGATGACAACACAATGAACAAACGGCCAAGGATTCTTCACCAAAAAACTCGAGCAGCTGTTTACACTTAGCCCGAATGTGTTTTCTTTTTTTGTGGACCTTTGGCCTTCACGTTTGTGTTTTTATTTACACGTGTCCAAGTGAGGCATGTTTTAGGCTAAGGAAGTTGTGGTGGTGGAATTAAATGGGTGTAATTACTTCATGGTAGGACTTAAACAATTTGGTTTTCTGGAAAGATGTCTCACGATGTTGGGACAGATTCGGAAGCCACTACTGGGCACAGAGTGTTGAGAATGGAGGCAAAAATGCTGTGACTCTCGTCAACTCTGGGCCATTTACTGACAAACCTGAGAACTCTGTGAACTGGAGAAAATAAAGCATATGCGCATAAGGCGGTTATAAGACATTTTAAAACTATGGTGAAACAGGAGTGAGACAGTGAATGGGAGGATGAGAACAATTCAGAAACCAAACTCTCAATTCCAACGGCCCTTATTTTGACCCAAAGACTCCTTGAAAGAATGACAAATGACATAATGTTTTAAAGGTTTTTGATCTTATATTCCCGGGCTAGTAACATTTATCTATATAAATACATTTTTCTCCTTTACCTGATTCTTTAATTTAATAGCATCTTTCCATAAGGTCCTCCTTTGAGGCTTGATTCATACAAAATTCAAAACATCTGATGCATCTGCAGCCTAGGGAAGAGCATTTTAAATTACAGTTCCTAGTTCTGGTGAGTTGGCAGTGAGACGGGGCCATGATTTCGCGCCGGTGGCAGTAGGGATGGGTCACATCTTATGGCAATAACATCAATTGGCAGCAATGTCAAAAGTCACACAAAATATTTTGAATCAGCAATTGTATTTTTGAGACCGTACAACAGGAAAACTTTCAAAAGAAATTCAAGCTACGTGCATGATTATGTTCACCGCATGTTTATTCATAGTAGTGAATACAACCTAAATGCCCCACTAAAGGGGATGGATCAGAAAGGATGAGGTCACTCATTCTATGAAATGTTACACCATCCTCGAAATCATGGTAAGTACGCTGCAGTCGAGGAAAATGTCCTTGATATATTGACAAACAAGAAGAACAATGTTAACAAAGAGGGGACAGTGTTTACGATGTGACACCTCACGTGCACAAAGGCTGACGGTGAACCAGACAGACCAAACCAAGCCAGCTGCTCTTTCAAAATAGTCTAATTTTACAAATAAATAAATGTAAGGAAGTCTTCCTCACCCAAAAGGAAGAAAGAAAAGAAGGAAGGAAGGAAGGGTGGGCTTTATGGGTTTGATTCTATATCTTAAAACAGCTCTTTCGAATAGATTCTATTTCATACCAATTTTACAGCTCTGAGCTGGAGACATACAGATGGTCAGTGATTTACGCAAGACCCAGGTGGCTCCTGACTGAGCAGGGCTTTAGGATCTACCCAGACTTCAGTGTCTGAATGTCATGCTTACTCACAGACGGGGCTTCTTTGGGCTTTGTATCTGTCTCTTGTTCTGGGAAATAGTAAAATTGCTCTTCGTGGCTACTAGCTTCATGCAATAATGACAAAGAATGACCAATTAAAGCCTATAACCTATTCAAAGTTTCTGAAACTGGAAAGTACAAAAGTGAGGAAGGAAAACCTACTCTTTAAATATTAGATCTCGCTAAGATCATGTTACCTTGATTGACACAGTTTTGATTTCCATTCACTATAGGAATTTCTCTCTAAATTCCTTAAAAATTTGTGTAAAATGCTTAGTACATTAACTCCCCTGAATCACTATAATTTTTTAACAGAGGTAGTTTTCAGTTTAGAGGACCCCCTATCTCTGGCTTTTTCTCTTGCCTCCTGCAAAGCATCAAAACCAAACCATTAGTACACAAAGGAGAAATCCATTGTATGTGCATGTGTGGGGGCTTGTGCGTACCCACCCGGGAATCCATAAACACCATACTTATCCAGGGAAGGAGATTTTGTTCCTTTTCACATATCAGTTATTCAGATTTTGTCCTTCATGTTGATACAGGATGTTTCTAGCACTTTACATACACTTTCTTTATGGAATTTTCATCAGTTCCATCGCACAGGTAAAAAGACCAAGGCACACACTTAAAATAAAGGCAAAGACTTTACACTTAAAAATAAGTAACTCAGTAAGAAGCAGCCAGTCTGACAGAATACAGTAACATCTGATCAAAAGCTCCCTCTTTTGGCCCTACAAAGGAGGGCCAAAGAGAGAGTTTTACCCAGGTTTAATGTGTCAGTAAATCCACTTAAAAGTAAGTAAAAGCTAAAAATGGAGAACAACGTTCTCTAAAGATGAGAGTGAGATCCTCCCTAAGAATGACAGGCTTCTTGCACAAGGAAAGTCTAGGACTTTTCTCTCTTAAGCTGTAGGGAATTATGTTTTCCATATTCAGCATGTGTAACTGGAGAATCATCTATAAGTCTCAAGGTACTCAGGCTTGTCCCCCTTTTCTCTCCAAGCCACTTACTGCACACCCACGTCCTTACCATCTGGAAGCTTCGGGTAGAATGGAATTCACACTGCATCATGTCAAAGAAGATGGGAATGGTGGCTTTGCGAAGCTCTGTCTCAGGAATCAGTGTCATTTCTAATATTGGGCCGACCATTTCTGGAATGAACTTTATCTTGTGTTGACCTTGAATAAAGAAGTGCATTATTCAGAAATGTTTTAAATAAAGGATTCTGAAATGAGCTTCAATGGACAGAAACAAAACTACACAGATCATTGTGATTTTGAATGCTAGGATCTTGGGAACATGTATCCATTTCTCACCTACAGGCAGCAATTCTGAGTGTGTCCAGCCTTTAGTATAAGACGTGAACTGTATTCCAAATAGTGTAAGTGAAGCTGTTAAAAAAAAAAATCTACCCAATATAAGGCTTGCAGTCATGATTTGTCTGTTACCGACGACAAATGCCATTTCACAAACAGACAATGACATCACACACATTGGGGCGTGAGAAGCTAACGGGTACCCAATTTTGGAAAGAGCAGGGCTGGGAGACGGGACCCTCGGCATCTCATTTTATCAACAATGAACAAGAGTTGAACAAAAGTGAAGAGGTTAGGGCAGGTGGTCTCTTGGGCCCTTTCTGTCTGCAACATCATATGAAAAGGAGTTTACTATTTGGAACCTCTGTAAATAATGTCGACGGATCTCTATAACGTTCCGAGTGACTGATCAGAGAAATCAAAACCAGACCTCAGAATGTGAAGCTGTGAAAATAGAAAGGATTCTGCCTTTTTTGACTTACTATTTGATTGGATAATGCTTATTAAAATAGCTACTTTATTAATCTTATATACCACTTATCTTGTCCAGATATGATTTTTAAAGCATAAGATAATATTCATTATGATTCACAAGGACAATAGTATATGCTTAAAAACAGCTTTTGAGAAAACTTTTCAAAAGCTGTTTTTAAGCACATACTTCTGCCCCTATGATTAATAATGAATATTATAAAATTAGCTAACACTTACTAAGTACGACTACATGACAAGCCTCACAGAAAGAGTCTCACTGAATTCTCAACATAATTTTGTGAGACGGCTACCATCCCTCTCCTCTTTCTAAAAAACAGACCGTACTTTATTTCTTAATAGACTTTATTTTTTAGAGCAAAAGTGACCAGAAGGTACAGAGATTTATACCCCTGCCCCCAATTATAACATCCTCCCCCAGAGCGGGTGCCATTCTGAACTCTGTTTTACAGATGAGGAAACTGAATTTCCCCAAACCAGCGTGCTGTTCAGTGGAAATGGTAGAGCAGGACTGGAACCCGGGTCTGTGATTCTGAAGCATCAGGTGTGTCCCCCGTGCCCGGCCTGCCGGTCACGAGATCTTTCCAGGATACTAGGCCTCTCCATCTCGTGGTAATAGAAACGATGCTGGCTGTCCACACCACTCCCTTCTCTGTGTGCTGTCGTAATAACCCAGATGCAGAGGATAGTGACCTGTCATTTTATCTAGCATTACTGGGGTATCACACTTCTAAACTGGGTGCCCCAGAAAGTAGAGACAGGATTCTTATAGGCTCCAAACATTTTTATTTGTTTTTTTCTTTTCTATTTCAATCATTTTGTTGGAAATCTTGGTATCACACCTTTTGAGGCCTCTGCCTTCGACTCAAGACACTGCTAACTCAAAACCTCCATTTTTTCGTTTTTTGCTGCCATTTTGCCTCACCCCAGCAGTGGCCTCCGCACCCTGCTACGTCTAAATTCCTGATGGTTGGGAGTGGTGTGGGTGAACTTCCAGAGAACTTGAAGGGATAAAAGGCCTCCAGAGGGAAGGAGCTGCTGGAAAACTCATTTCTGAAAAAAGGGGGTGTTGACCTTATGTAAGGTGATAGGATTAAACTTAGAGGCAGGTCCCATCACGGAAGTGGGTCTTTTATAATTCCTGCCTTCTTATCTTTAATTTCAGAAATCCTGATTTATTTTCATTTCACCCCATTACAATTTATATCTTTTTGTTTCCAACATATAATAGAAGAATGCGCAAGAATTAAATGCTTGAATGAGTTATTCGTGACATTTTGTTATTAGCACTCGTAATTTATCCAGAGTTAATCAATGTTACTAACATTTTTACACAATCTGGAAATACAATGGATACACTAAATAATTTCATTTTCTTTATAACTCAGCTAATGCAGATTTCTGTAAAGAGAACCATTAAACAAATTTGGCTATTATAAATAAAGACCCTTAACAACATACATAATCCTCATAAGTGGTCTAAATTAAAGTATTCAGAAATTTGTACTGGGTGGACATGTACATAAAATGCAACCTTCAACAAGGAATCTGAATATAATTAAAATCTTATTAACCTTTACTAAATAATACTTTGACTAAGGCCCTAATATAACACGATTCTCATCGCTTCCCCAAATGCTTAATGTTTCTGAAAAGCATGTAAGTGACGCAAAGCATTCTCTTAAAAATGCTATTATATCCAGTCTCTCGGGTGACACTTTTCTTGTATTACGCCTAAAAAATGTCAAAGCCAATGTTTCAGAAAAGAGATGCTGGTGACAAAGAGTTCTTCATCAACCACAACTGCGGCGTCACGGAGGGCTCTGTCTCTCACTGACAGCCTTTATTGCTCCAGGCTGGGAGGACTGCATAAGGGAGAAACAAGTGGTTGCGAATGCAGGGATTGGAAAAATATGTTCCAAAAACGAAGGTGTCCTCAGCTTTGATTATTACCCCTCCCGTTAACACAGGACACGTTGGCTGGGGGCCAGCACTGAGCTTCAGCCACAGTGATATCCCCAGGGTTTAACCTCGGAGAACCAATGGTCCTCAAGGTGAGTAAGCGTTGGATACAATTCTCCAGTATTCATCTTTTTTCTTTCTTTCTTTCTTTTTTTTTTTGGCATTTGCATTATGGATTTCCCCTGGAGCATCTGTTGTTCAAATTTACTGATGAACTCAGGTTTGGAATCAATGGGAATCAAGGTGACTCCTGAAATGCAGGCTTCAAGAAAAAGAGGATTTACTTTCTTTTTTCCTTTTGAGACAAAGGAAGAACAAACTAATCATCGGATCACAGTGGGAATCGACGGATCACTCTGGTCACCTTGGCCAAACTCCTGGTTACCCCTCCTCAATCCTTAAAAACCCACCGATAGACTTTCTTCTAGTGACAAAACACGGAGCCTCTTCCCTGGGAACCAGACCGCGCTGTCTCAGGGAAGCCGGCTTCTCCCCCATCAACAGCCTCCCCCTGGGCGCCTGGATGATCTCTTGACAATCATGAGTGTTCAGAAATCCGGGACCTTAAACATCGTCTAATCCCAGGAAAATCTCCATATACACAAGAGGAGACAGAGCAAAAATTTCCATCACCCAGTCAAACGGATTAGGCCCCATTGTATGTGGGTTTTAATGAAAAGCACACAATTTTTTCCAAGTCTCCAAAAATACCCATGAAGGGAATCCCTGCATGACAAATGTCCCAGACCGAACCTGGAAGATAAAGATATTCCTGCGAGCACATTTGTTCTGGACAGACTGGAGAGACTGCAGGCTCTGGGGTGCTGCATGTAACAAACAAAATGTAAATCGAGGTGTGGAAGGCAAAAGAGAGATCAGGTGCTCTGCAGGCTGCCGCACAGAGTGCTCTTTGATAAATAACTGAAGAGCTGAGTAAATAAGCGCATCCGCTCCCCCCGCCCTCCTCACCTCACTCACCTCAGCTCACTTCCCTCACCTCACCTCCCTCACCTCCCTCACCTCACCCCGCTCTCCTCACCTCACTCACCACACCCCGCCTTTTTTGGGAGAGAGTCTGCCTTTGATTTCTCCTTTCACACTCAAAATATGATGGGTTTGGGAGGAAAACAAAAACCCCATGCTGCTCTGTCCCATGGGGCAGCACTGTGTCTGCACTTGCATTAAACTGAGCAACACAGACCCCGGATCCTTGTTCCAGTGCTGTGCAAGCAGGTGGGTTCTGGGCCGCTCACACCACACGTATGACTGCAAAGACTCAAGAAGGAGACGGTCTCACGGCACATTCGGCTCAGGGCCTGATCCAGTGACGAGTGACTAATTGTAAGAGGATAAATGTATCTGACGTCTACTTTTATTTTCTTGGTGGAGACTGCCAATATGATCTCAAACCTGAGCCCATTTGAAAAAAAATTTTTTTGTTGTTTTGTTTAAAAGCTGTGTAGAAAATAGGTTGTATACATCTTAGGAAACTGAGATGTGCTCTCGTTAATTTCTAGAGTGGCATCCTCAGCGATGACACTGGAGGGCAGGATCCAACACCTGAGATTCAGAGCAGCAAAGAAAGGGCCAGGTGGCCGGAGGTGACCCCACGGAGCTAGCCTTAGCCATTCTGAGGGGAAGCTGGGCCAGATCTTGGGAGCAGCCGACATGTTTATTACTTTTTTTTAACTTTCAAACATAATTTAATTATTTTGTAAGCAAGGAACCCAATCACGTGAGTTAATGATTATTTCTTGCTGTTACCAAATCCCTGCCCTTCACTGACCACAGTCACAGTTTACATTTGACCTCCTGGCCGCTTCTCATGCCAGAGTCAAAGGTCCTGGTAGAAAGCTGCCAAACACAGACCTGATGCATTCATCCCTGTATTCCAATCAGCAATGGACAGGGATGAGGCGGGACATTTGCTCTCTTAACTGTATCCTTTATGTTGCAAAGCAAAAGTCTGTGTCACTTGACTCAGACTATTTAGACCGTAAAGACATAATGTCGAGAGAACCAACCATTCGGACCACCGGAGGCTTCACGAGGGCCCAGAGGTGGCTTCACAGAGAAGCTCATGCTTCCCTGGGCCCATCCCACTGTCTTCCACTGAAATTGTAGACACGGAGCAAATGAGGAGGGATCAGTTTCAAACTATGCTCGACCTCAGGGATTCCAGAGATGACCTTGAAAACACTTTGAAGAAAAGAAAGAAAAGAAAACCCGAGTGCCTGGAGCGCCCATGTGTCAGGCCAGCCTGGGCTTGCGCTGGCTTTTGGAGGCTCCCTCTGAGCCAGGAAGTGGCCCTTCAGCTGAAGGTCAGAGAGGAGGGGAGGGTCCCGGGTGAGCTGAGCTGAGACAGCAGCTACTAATCAAACAAGAAGGACGCCTTTTAGTGTGTTAAA